TGTGTGTGTCGTGTCTGTGCATGTGTACCATCTGTGTGCATGTGCAGTGTGTGTGCTCTTGTGCAGTGTCTGTGTTCTTGTGCAGTATGTATTCGTGTGCACATCTGTGTGTGCTTTCTGTGTTCACATGCAGTATCTGTGTTGTGTGTATGTGCAGTGTGGTCATGTGCAGTGTCAGTGTGGTCGTATGTAGTGTCTGGCCGTGTGCAGTATCTGTGTGTTCGTGTGTAGTGTTGTGTTCATATACGGTGTCTGTGTTCATGTGCAGTGTGTGTGTTTGTGCGCAGTGTGTGTGTTCATGTGCACCATCTGTGTGGTCGTGTGCACTGTGTGTGGTCATGTGCAGTGTCTGCTCGTGGCAGCATCTGTGATTGTGTGCAGTGTGTGTTCATATGCACTGTCTGTATGGTCATGTGCAGTGTCTGTGTTTGTGTGCAATGTCTGTGCAGTGTGTTCATGTGTGCAGCATCTGTGTGGTCATGTGCAGTGTGTGTTCGTGTGCAGCATCTGTATGTGTGTGTGCAGTGTCTGTATGTTCCTGTGCAGTGTCTGTGTGGTCATGTACAATATCTGTGTGGTCATGTGTAGTGACTGTGTGCAGCATCTGTGTGTTTGTGTGCAGTGTCTGTGTGTTCATGTGCAGTGTCTGTGTGCACCGTGTTCGTGTGCACTGTCTGGTCATACACAGCGTCTGTGTGTTCATGTGCAGGGCGTGTGTTCGTATGTACCATCTGTGTGTTTGTGTGCAGTGTCTGTGTGGCTGTGTGCAGTGTCTGTGTGGTTGTGTGCAGTGTCTGTGTGGTTGTATACAGTGTCTGTGTGGTTGTGTGCAGTGTCTGTGTGTGTGCAGTGTGTGTTCATGTGCACCATCTGTGTGGCTGTGTGCAGTGTCTGTGTGGCTGTGTGCAGTGTCTGTGTGGTTGTGTGTACCATCTGTGTGTTTGTGTACTGTGTCTGTGTGGCTGTGTGCAGTGTCTGTGTGGTTGTGTGCAGTGTGTGTTCATGTGCACCATCTGTGTGTTTGTGTACTGTGTCTGTGTGTTTGTGTGCAGTGTCTCTGTGTTTGTGTGCACTGTCTCTGTGTTCGTGTGCAGAGTCAGTACTGACCATGCTAAGAGTAAGTACTGACCATGTGTGGGTCCCAGGGAAAGGAGCCGGGGCTGCTGGTGTCCCTGGGCTGGCAGAGCCAGGCTGCGAGCAGTGCCTCGCTGGGGGACCAGTGTGGTCGGATTTCTTGGGGTGTGGATTGAAAAAGACCTGAAATGTTGCTCTGTTGTCCTTCTTCTCTGTTTTGTTGGCTGTTTATTTCTTCCCGGTCTTTCCCCTCCTCACAAGTTCCATCACAGCCCCTCTGGTTTTGTGTGGTTTTGAATGCCTGCTGTAACTGACCCTGCTCCTTCAGCAAGGAGACCTGGGCTTCCCTGTTACTTTACAGATTTCAGGGCTCCCCGGCACCGTGGGAAAGAGCTGGAGGAGGAGACTCCCGATTTCCCAGAGCGAGCTCAATCCCACAGACCAGGGGGAACTGACCTGGCACCCTGGGGTGGGGGGGGCAGTGAAGGGTGAAAAACTCCCACCTGAATTTCGCCTGTCAAATGTATTGGTTGCTTTGGGGGACTGGGAAGGAGGCTGCTGGCTGGGGGGCGGGGACCCGGGCTGCCCCCAACTACCACTGGGACACGACCCCAAGGGGCAGGTAACTGAGGATTTCCTAGGAAAGGTGGCTGCTTAATTAGCTGTGGGGGAGTTCCTGCTTTCAATAGCACAATTCCCATGAAACAAAGTTGCCGCGTTAATAGAGTCAGCCCTCCCCTACCAACTGTTGATTTGCATGATTGATTCAGCTTTGAGATTCCAGTCCACCTTCTTCTCCACCTCCTTCTCTTCCGAGTCCTGCTCCCCTCCTTTCCCCTGGTCTCTTCCAGGCGCCAGAAACTGGGCGGGTGTTCCCAAGGCCCCAGGAAGGGTGGAAGCCACAGGGCGGGAACCTGAGACCCTGGGAGTTCCTGGCTCCGGGTCCTGTTTTCACACCTCTTGCCTGGTTATTTTTGTGGCCTTGTGGGCAGCAGTGAGAGCAAGGGAGGAGGAGTAAAAGTCTCACCCTCAGACATGGGTTGGCCTTGGATGGAATTGTGTCCTGTTGGGCTTCTCGCTTCCTGGGACACTGGTTGCCCGAGTGCGAGACGTAGGGACCCCTGCCCTGTCCAGTGGCCTTGCCCTGCCCCGTGCATGGGGCATGTGTCTCTCTGTGTAGGCACTAAGTCCCTTCCGATGTACGCCTGGGTTACGGTGCAATTCATCTTGCCGTAATCCCGGGGCCCTGCACCATATTCACCATCCCGTGGAGGAAGCCGCACTCCGGTGTTCTGTTTGATTTGATTTCATTCATCCTGTCTTTTCGCGAAATAGATGGCTGAGTGCATCCGATAATGTATGGTTTAATTTGGAGCACCGTGGGTTTGAATTACCATTTTCATAATGTGCTGTGCATTAATGTGTTACATCATTTATAAAGAGGAATGTGCCGGGTTTCAAACTTTCTCGGGGAAAGTCAAAGTCACCTCAAGCAAGCGCAAGCCAGATCGCGTGGAGCCGTCTCCTTCCCGAGAAACTCCCGCCTCCCCAAGCAGGGCCAGGTCCTCCGGCGCTGCCGCTGGTAAAACCCAGTGGTGAGGCACTTTTATATTTGCCTCATGCAGGTGGGAGTCCAGGTTTGGGGAGCCCCCCCAGAGCCAGAGCTGTCAATGGCAGCACAGAGCCCCCCTCATCATTGCATAACAGCAGCCCTGCAGCCAAGCCCCCTTCCAGTGGATGGCTCTCCTTCGACCCTAATCCCAGCCCTCCCTCCCCGATGGCTGTAATAACACCAGCTGTCTGTTACTCAAACTCTGACCGAGGAGGAAAAAGCACTGATTATCCAAATACAGTCATTAAAGGGGAAATGTGTTTTTAGGACTGTCAGAGTGATTAATGAGGGCTAGCCGTCTTTGCAAATGCACTTGTTTAGTCTAACTGGCAGCTTCTATTTTCCTATTGATTTATTGCAGCCGTTGCCGGGCCTGGGTGTGTGCGAAGTCAGGGCACTTCACAAGTGCACCCTGTTTAAACAGGAAAAGCATGCACCGTGTTTTTGTCCGCGAGGGGGGGAGCAGTCGCTCCCTTCACTTCAGTATCCAGGGGCCCAGACCAACAAAGAAGACATTAAAAATCTACAGCCCAGGGAGGGGAGGAAACTACCTCCCGTTGGTCGTCCCCAGGCACTCAGCTCCAAGGTCACCATGGCCCCTGGACAAAGCCTGCCCTATTGTAGCACTCAGCAGGCCCTCATTTTCCCCTCCCAGCCTCCCCCACCCCCAGACCAGCTGTCAGCCCCTGGGTCCAAGAGGGAGAGGCCAGGACGAGAGAAACACAGACAAAGCAAGCTCTATGGTGCAGGGGTGAGGCGGGGTGGGTACACCGGCAGAGACCCCTGCGTTGGTTTGCACTTTGACAAAGAGGCAGAGGGACCGCGGAAGTGGCAGTGACTTCTTTCTCGTGTGTGGACAGCCGAGGTCTCTCGTGACCAAGAGTATTGGAGAAGCGACAAAGGGGAATTTACGGCGTGGTGCTGGGTGCCCGGCGGAACCCAAGGAAGCACAAACTTCCTGCCCGATTTATGATAAGGGGGCGGATGGGACATGTCCCTGAGATGCGTACCACTGTCACAGGACACATTTGTGGTGATCTGATGGCGAAAGTGTGCAGTGCAGAGTGGAGAGGACAGGAGATGCTGAGGTACTAACTGTGGGCATCTGAAGGTGGAGCTGCAGGGGCCGAGGGAGGGGACGGGGACCTGCAATTCCCCAGTTCCCCCTAAGCCGGACCTCTGTTGAAAGCTGGGTGGTGCGTGGGGCCTTCATTCCATAGTGGTGAGAGGATGGGACACAAGCCCCCAAGCCAGTCACCCCGTGCCCAGTGCCCTATGAAGCCAGGCATAACTCCTCTGAATTTTCTCCCGCCCACACAGCCTGCACCTTCCACACGGCATGCCAGGCATGGAAATGGCCTGCCGTCCTTCCTAAAGGAAGCCCCCTCCACGTTTTCCCGATCGCGATGTGAGTCCCTCCTCCAAAAGCAGGAAAAGCCGGCCAACCTACCGACCAACCAACTGGCCGACCGTGGGTTTGGATCACAGAGGCCCTGGAGCATCTTTTTAGGAGCAAAGAAGTTGGACTTGGTTGTGAGGAAGCCAAGTGGCCACATTTTGCAAACTTCAAAATAGAAATAAGCGGAAGAAACATACTTTGCTGGACATTAGGGCTGCCCTGGGAAGTCCAGATACCTAGACATCACACAGTGAGTAGAAAGAGCACTGGAATGGGAGTCTGAGAGCCTAGATTTTTACCACCTAGCTTAGACCTGGATGGGCGTTGTGGCTCAGTGTCGCTGCTTGGAATGCTGGCATCCCCTCTCAGAGGGCTGGTTCAAGTCCCGGCTACTCGGCTTCCAATGCAGCTCCCAGCTAATACACTCTAGAAGGCAACAGGTGGCGAGTCAAGTGTTTGGGCCCCTGCCATTCGTGTGGGAAACCCAGATGGAGTTCCAGGCTCCTGGATTCAGCCTGGCCAAACCCTGGCTGTTCCAGGCACGAACAAGCAAATGGAAGACGGATCGTTCTTCTCTCTCTCTCTCTCTCTCTCCTCTCTCTCCATTGTTCTGCCTTTCAAGTTGTTCAAAAAAAGTAACATCAACTAAAATAAAATCCCATGGCTGTGTGATCTCAGACAAGTCGATTGTTTTTTATTTTTCCATTTCCTTAATGGGTCCAACTGGAGTAGTCTGTGAGTTTATAAAATGCTTAAAAAGGTGGTCAGAGTTGGCTAGGGTGCTCTGTCACCAGCCTCAGTCTCACATGATTCTAAGGTTCCTGTAAGAAGAGCAGCTGTAGAAGCAAGAGAAGCCTTGTGACATCACATCAACTAGCGGTGAGGGCAGGGGACACAGAGGGACTGTGCCACGCATTTGTCCCCCAAACGGAGCACTGCCCCCACCAAAATGAACCAAGCACAGATGTTGAATTGGGTGATAGAGTGATTGGCAGATAGAGTGCTGCTGGTGGGTGATTCAGAGATGGTGTGGGGTGATGCCATGGCTGGGAAAGTATTTTAAATCATTTTGAGAACCCCATGAGTTGAAACCAAGGACAAGTTTGTCATAGCCTGCAGCTAATTGCTTTTCAAAAATGGAACTGAAAAGAGAAAAAAATGGAAAGCAGAGGGGGCCAGCGCAGCGAGTTAAGCCGTCCACTGCAACACCAGCATCCCATACGGTCACTAGTTCAATTCCCAGCTGCTCCACTTCTGATCCAGCTCTCTGCTAATGGCCTGGGAAAGCAACAGAAGATGGCCTAAGAACTTAGGCCATGTGGGAGAGCTAGTGAAGTTCCTGGCTCCCGGCTTCAGCCTGGCCCAGCTCTGATCATTACAGCCACTTGGGGAGTGAACAAACAAATAGATGATCTCCCCCCCCCCTTTATCTCTCTGTAACTCTGACTTTCAAAACAAATCTGGGGCTTACCCTGTGGCGTAGTAGGTTAAGCATCCACCTGCAGCACCAGCATCCCATATGGGCACCAGTTCATGTCCCAGCCGCTTCACTTCTGATCCAGCTCCCTGCTGATAGCCTGGAAAGCAGTAGAAGATGGCCCAAGTGCTTGGGCCCCTGCACCTACATGGGAGACCCGGAGGAAACTCCTGGCTCCTGGCTTCAGATCGGCCCAGCTCCAGCGATTGCAGACATTTGGGAGTGAACCAGCAGATGGAAGACTTTCCTGTCTGTACTCTGCCTCTTAAGTAAATAAATAAATTTTTAAAATAAGTAAATTATTTTTTAAATGAGGGGTTGTCACTGTGGTATAGTGGGTAAAGCTGCCACCTGCACTGCTGGCATCCCATATGGATGCCAGTTCAAGTCCCAGCTGCTCCTCTTCTAATCCAGCTCTCTGCTATGGCCTGGGAAAGCAGTGAAAGATGGCCCAAGTCCTTGGGCCCCTGCACCCGCATTGGAGACCCAGAAGAAGCTCCTGGCTCCTCGCTCCTGGCTTCGGATCGGCACAACTCCAGCCACTGCGGCCATCTGGGGAGTGAACCAGCGGATGGAAGACACCTCTCTCTCTCTCTCTCTCTCTCTGTCTCTCTCTCTCTCTCTCTGCCTCTGCCTCTCTATAACTCTGCCTTTCAAATAAAGGAACAAATGTTTTTAAAAATCAAATGAAAAGCAGTTAAAAATCAAACCACAGTGAGGGGTATACCTGTACTGTGAGTGGGCAGTGGGCACCTCCGCAGCTCTGTAGAAGATAAAATGAAATGATCTCTCGGAGTTTAAATCAGAGCCAGATTTCAGAATGGAAACAGCAATCTGGAAACTGCTGGCACTTGCCCGTGCCCCTCTCCCCCCACCCCCACCACATCCCATATCCTGCTTCCTTTGCCGGGCGGGTACATTTGTGAATGTCCGTGTGTACATGGTGCAAGTTATATACAGGCTTGGACTCGGTCCATGAAGAAGACTTTGCAATTCCTTTCTTCTGACAACTCCACACATGCGCACCACCACATGCAGAAATGAGAGGCTGAACCCACCAGGCAGTGTCTCCCATGGCATCGCCTGTGTGAGCCGTGGCACAGGTGCAGGGGTCATGTGTGCCGGGCATTTCCTCCTCACAGCCAAGTCCAGTTCCAGCCCCAGTTCCTCCACTTCCGATCCAGCTTCCTGCCGGTGCACACCCTGAGGTGGGCGGGGGAGGCGGGCAGAGGTGATGGCTTCAATCACTGAGTCCCCGCCACCCACAGTGGGAGACTGGATTGAGTTCCAGGCTCCTGGCTTTGGCCTGGCTGTGTCCTGGCTGTTGCAGGCATTTGGGGAGTGAATCAGCAGAGGGAAGATCGATCTCTCTCTCTCTCTGCCTTTCAAATAAGCTAGAAATAAATACATAATGTTAGCATATATACATACACATACATATATACAGGAAGGCATTTTCGGCCAGGCCTTGGCGACACAGTGGCGGAGCCAGGGGCTGCGATGCAGAAGACTGTAGGGCAGGCAGGCGGGGAGGGAGGACCACAGGCTGAGGCTCCCCCTACGTGAGCTGTTTGCAGTCTCTGAGCTCAGCCAAGGCCTGGTGAGGTCCAGCCACCCCAGCTCCCCTCCCTTTATATCCACTCGAAGTCGACTTGCCTGGGGACTCCAGTCCCATCTGCAGAAGTTCTGCCCGGCAGCACCCAGATCCATGGTTGGTTAGGTTTCTGGGGCCTGAGGTTTAGTCTCACGGGAGGGCATCACCTGTACCCCTGAGTTAGGCAGGCTTGCAGACTGGCGGGGAAGCGCTGGAGGGCTAGAGCAGAGGAAAGACCTGTTTCAGGCCACCATCCCACGCTCACGATCCTCCAGCCAAAACTGACCCTCCAGCCACGGCCCTTCTTACTACCATGTGGGCCGCTGGTCCTCCCTGGCACCAAGGAACAGAGGGCTCGAAGCATAACCAGCCTGGGTGCTGTCTGAGCAGCTCCCAACCTGCCCCTCCCACGCTCATTCTACACAGTGGGCGACTGAATCTATAGGGTGACTGCCAAGGGCCACCCGCCCCTCACCCACCACCCCGCCTCCTCGGGCCCTACCAACCCATTGAACCCATTGACCCGGAGAAAGTGGACGTTTGAGGCCCCAGGGCTCACAGGTGCCTAGCCAGGCAAGGCTGGCTCCAGTGTGGTTAGCACAGAAGGCCCAGGATGTGAGACCACTGGGATTTGTGGCCTTCTACCTACTCCATAGGACTGGGGCTCCCAAACACCTGCCAGCTTGCTCCAGGAGATGAGCCCTCCTGACAAGGAGAGAGACCTCTGACCTACTGGCCGCAGACAATGCTACCGCCCGGGAAACCTGCAGAAAGCTCAGATACGGCCTGGTCATGATCAGTAACCACTGACAACCAGAGCCGTCCACAGTGTGCACTCTAAATGCATGTGACAAGGTCTGGGCCATGGGGGTCGGATGTGAGCCTTGTCCTGCTCTCACATGGGTCGGGTACCAGCTGCGCACCTCGCATCCGAGCTGTCACTCAACCCCAATGCCACTCCCTACTACAAGTTTCTTTCTAAATACAGTCTATCGCGACCAAATCCATCCAATTCTAAAACCCTGTGTCTTGTCACCATGGGCCACCAGGGACTGTTCTACCCATACACCTGCAGCCAGCCAAGGGAACTCCCCGGCTAGCCCCTAAGACCTGGCCTGGGGCTGCACCAGCCTGGCAGGGAGTCTCCCAACAGCGCCACCTGGCTGCAGGTGAATTAGCGGGAGGCTTGCTAACCTCTGGTCCTCTCTCCCGGAAACAGCACAGGTCAGAAAGGGGACCTCAGGCCTGTGAAGGCAGGCTGGGCTCCTGACGGCCCTGCAGTGAGCATACGCAAACGTGGTTCTGGAGATGCTATGACATGACCCCTCACAGCAAACTGCTTATAATCTAGGAGGAGAAATCGTGCGAGGCAACAAATGACAGTAAGAAGCAAAGAGGGGTGCTCTAGTTGGAATGTGTGCCCCCAAACCTACTCCCCGGAGCTGTACGTCAGCGGTGTTTGGAGGCGGAGCCCTTGGGAGGGCATTGGGATTAGATGAGGTCGTGAGGGTAGGGTCCCCACTGTGGCATCACTGGGTTTTTAAGAGGAAGAGAGGGGCAGGCATTGTGGGACAGCGGGTTAAGCCCCCACTCATGGCTGCTCCACTTCTGATCCAGCTTCCTGACAAGGAACCTGGCAAGGCAGCAGAGCGTGGCCCAGGTGCTTGGGCCCCTGTGTCCATCTGAGAGATTCAGATAGAGCTCCTGGCTCCTGGCTTCTGGGGAGTGAACCAACAGATGGACAATCAACCTCTCAATCTCTCTCTCTCTCTCTCTCTCTCTCTCTGCCTACCAAATAAACACATATTTTAAAGGAGGAGGGGGAGGGAGGGTGACGTGAGCTCACAGGCCTGCTCCGTGTCACCCGTGATGCCCTCTGCCGGTTTAGGATGCAGCACGGGAAGGGGCCCTCACCAGAGGCCACGCTCTTGAACTCCTCAGTCCTCACAACTGTGCGCCTGATAAACCCTCTCTTCTTTACAAATTACCTAGTCCCAGGTGTTTCATTACAGCAACAAAACACAGGCGGAGACAGGGACTCAGAACAAGTGGCAGGTGTTCAGAGCACCCTGGACGCTGGAAGGAGGCTGGGCATGGCGGGCAGCCGAAGCAGGACCCTGGGTGGGACTGTGCAGGATGTGTCCGGGAGGCCCCCTCTCCCGCTCACACCAAGCAGCTTTTGTGTGCACCTGTGAGGGTGACTTGGGGAAGTAGCCCTCACCCCTCCTCAACACACACACACACACAGGGGCGGCCACCCAGCACCCAGCCTAGCGGGCTCCACACAGTTAAGGGGCATGACCCGGGAGTTACAGCACTGTGCAGAGTGCAGCGTGAGCCTGCTACACACCACCGGCCAGCTCCCTGAGCCCCAGCCACCCGGCCCGGGGGCCCTCCTGTGCCCAGGAACCACGGTTCTGGCACTGTCACAGCTGCAGGGCCCAGGGCCTGGCAGGGAGAGGTTCTTAGGGACCTATCAGTGGCCACACCCACAGGTGGGCCTTCCCTCCAGTCCCCTTCTTGATTCTCCCATGTCCCCCTGCCCTGCTGCCTCCCCCCCCACACACACACCTGCTGCATACCCCCGGCAGCTCCAGGCCACACCCTCCCTCTGGGTCCCTCCCCCAATACACACACACATGCACGAGCTCCTCTCACCCTCCCCTCCCCTCCCTCCCCTACCCCTTCCCCTCCATTTGTTTCAATGAACAGCCCCTTTTATCTATTCTGTAGGTACAAATGAAGCTGTCAAATTTGATCAGGCGCTTGATATGACAGGCTGTGGGGAGTCGGGACCCCTGGAACAGAGTGGGCCTTGTCTGTCACAGCCCGCCTGACACTTCCCATAATGCCCAGACTGATGAGATTCTGAGTAGGGCCCAGCACATTTTCAACTCTATTTTGGGTGAAAACCCTTCTTGAAAGATCTTGAAAGGAGCTGGCAGCTCAGCCGCTCGGATGATTAATGAGGGCTGGCTCCGCTGGATGGATCTCTCCTGGTGCCAACAGCCGTCCTCCCAACAGGCCGGAACGTGCTGCGTGGACGCCCCCAGCACTTCCCCCCGTGCGCGCCGCCCCCCGGAACCCCTCACCCGCCAAGCCGCCGCCACCGCCAAGCCGTCGGCACCCCAAGCCCGAGCCACGCCGCCGCACGTCTGAGCCCGGGGCAGCCCCTGCATATGGAAAAAGTTAACTATCAGCGCAGGGCTGAGGCCAGACTTGAGAGAGCAGGGCCTCCTGGATAGCTCTGCAGAGCTGCGGGACACCAAGGGAGGGCTGGGGACAGGCACCCAAGCGCTCCCGGGGTCACAGCACCTGCGCTTCCCCCACCTATCTCAGCAGTGCTGGGCACAGAAGCCACGGGTGGCTCAGCCCCAATGGGACAAAGTGGCTCAGCCCCTGCTTCTGTCAAGGGGAACACTGTGGACATTTGGAGCAAGATGACTTTTCTTTTTTAAGATTCATTTTTGAAAGGCACAGTTAGAGAGAGAGAGAGAGAGAGATCTTTCATCTGCAAATTCACTCCCCAAATGGTCACAACTGCCAGAGCTGGGCCAGGCTGAAGCCAGGAGCCAGGGACTCTACCAGGGTGTCCTGTGTGGGTACAGGGACCCAAGCACCAGGGCCATCTTCTACAGCTTTCCAGGCACAGCAGCAGGGCGCTGGATTGGGAGTGGAGCAGCCACGTCTTGTGAACAGCATCGCAAGTGACAGCTTAACCCACTGCACCACAGTGCCGGCCCCACACAGCAACTCTCGATGGGACAGGGACCCTCCTGTGCAGATTTAGCATCTTTGGCCTCAAGACACGACTGACAACTTGCCTGTCACACTCCCACCCATGGAGACAATTCTGAATGCTCCAGGGATGGCACCTGCCCTGACTGAGAAGCACACTTAGGGCAGAGAGAGCTCCTCGCCCCCATGTCCTGAGAGCCAGGCCGCCCCTCTGTCCCTTAGCTGTCCCTTCCGTCCCTCAAACCCCAGCAGCCGCGAGAGCTCCGTGGAAGAGCGCGGGGAGAAGGCTAGCTGCTCTCCCATCCCCTCCTCCCCACCCGCCAACCTTTCTCCTAGGCGGCTGCTCCCGCCACCTGCTCTAAACCCCACCTTGTTCCCTCCCACCAGGAGGCTTCCAGTTTTCCCCACTAGGGTGCTTCAGCTCAGAGACCTCCACAAACAGGCTGCTACTGCGGTCGCTGGGTCGGGAACCTGCTATCACTTTTGAGACAACTGCAGATGGCTCTTTCAAGCCAGGCTCTGGGGTCTGAGGAACTGGGTCCCTGTGACCAGGACCACCATCAGGACCTCTTGCAGGGCAGGCGAGGCACAATTCATGGGGCCAGGCCATGAGGGAGGGCTCCCAAGAACCACTCTCCTCACTCCCTGTTTCCTTCCCTCTCTTCCTTCCTGAGAGAGAGAGAGAGAGAGAGAGAGAGAGAGATCCACCCCAGGTCCCTGGGTAACACAGCCAGCTCTGAGATCATCCAGCCTTGGGCAGACCCAAGACACCAGTTCTTCGTTCAGCTGTGTTTTCTGGGCATCTCCTGCATGCTGGGCACTGGCGAGACCCTGGCGAGACCCTGGAGAGACACTCAGATCCCGCCTTCCTGAGCTGCCGGACGAGGGAGGAGACGAGAGCCAAGGGAGTGCCTGTACGGCTGTAAAAAGAGGCAGAATTGATGCAGAAGTGCAGGGTGTGGCATAGGAGGGAACTCCCAAAAGTCCCTGAAAAAGAGGAATAAGAGAAGTTTGCTGGGGCTGGCATTATAGTGTAGCAGGTGAAACTGCTGGCTGCTGGCATTATGTATAGCAGGTAAAGCTGCTGCCTGCAACACCAGAATCCCATATTGCAGCTGATTCACTCCCTGCTAGGGAGCCTGGGAAAAGAGCAGATGGCCCAACTGCTTGGGCACCTGTTACCCACAGGTGAGACCAAATGGAGCTCCAGCCTCCCAGCCTTGGCCTGTCCCTGCCCTGGCCATTTGAGGGGTGAACCAGCAGATGGAAGATCTCTTCCTCTCTGTCTCTCCCTCTCTCTGTCAGTCTGCCTTTCAAATAAATCTTTTAAAAAGAGAAGGGGGGGCACTGTGGTGTAGCGGGTAAAGCTGCCCCCTGCAGTGACAGCACCCCCCCCATATGGTCATGAGTTCAACTCCTGGCTGCTCACTTCTGCTCTAGCTCCCTGCTAATGGCCTGGGAAAAGCAGTGGAAGATGGCCC